GGTTTAAAATGTGCGGGCTTTGTTGTAATCCTATAAAAGCTATCTTACTTCTGCCCTCATGGTCCTTAGTCCTCTGCCCTTGCATGGCTTATGACTGTGGACCCCATTGCACTTGGAATATAAAAGACCTCATGCTTTTACATCAAGACAGCTTCTCGTGAGTGATTTGGGAGGGCCGCCTTTTCTGAGTGGGAGCGTGAAGGTCCACGCTCTGCGGGTTTTTCAGTACATCACTACTCCAGGCTGAAATTACTTTATTATAGTCAGCCCTATTTTTTATTATGTGTGTATGTCTTTGTGAGTAAATTCCACATGTGTTTGGGCATCAGTGGAGGTAGAAGAGAGTGTCAGACTCCCTGGAGCTGGAGCTATAGGTGGTTGTAAGCCATTCAGGCAGTATGCTAGAAACCCAACTTGGAGCAGCCAATGTTCTTAACCATTGAGCCTCCTCTCTAGCTCCCTGCTATTCTTTTGTTGTTTTTTTGAGACAAGGTTTCTCTATGTAACAGTCCTGGCTGTTCTGGAACTAGCTCTATAGACCAGGCTGGCCTCAAACTCACAGAGATCTACCTGCCTCTGCCTTCTGAGCGCTTGGACTAAAGGTGTGCGCCACCAATGCCCGGCTTTGAACACTTATTTAGAAATTTTTTCTATTCCAGCCAGGCATGGCAGTACAGGCTTTTAATCCTAGCAGAGGCAGAGGCAGAGGCAGGCTGAGTTTGAGGATGCCTAGGGCTATGTAGGGACCCTGCCCCAAAGACAAAACAAAAACAATTTCCTATTCCAAAATTTAGGAAAACAAATCTTATCATGATTGATTAGAGATTATGATTATAATTTTATTATTGACAAAATACTAAAAAGCTATCTTAGCATTTGATAATGAAGCCAAATCTAATTAACTTACATTATTTAAAGATATTTAAAATGTTTACTTGACCACTGGGCCATCAAGCCTCCCCCATACTTATATGATATAATAGCTTATCCAGAAGCTGAGATAATTCTTGCAGCTAGTTCTGGGAAAAAGACAAAGATATCAGGGAATACTATCATGTCTGAAAATAATTGTGACTACCTATCTGATTCAATAAAAATATGAAGCTAGTAACTCTTGAGTGTATTAGAATGAAAATCATTGATTTTTAAAAAGACAGTTTCTTGTAGCCAGTCTGGCCTCAATCTCTCTGTAACCAAAGATGATCTTGATTTCCACCCCTGCTGCCTGTACCTGCTTGGTGCTGGGATATAAGGCATGTGATACCACACCTGTTTCATGTGGTATTGGAGACTAAATCCAGGGCTTTGTGCAAACACTTAAACTACATTCCCAGACTTTCTATCTTTTAGAGAAAAAGAATCTTTTATTGTTGTTTGTTTTATTTTTATTAATATTATTGTTATTTTGTTATTTTTTTTTTTCAGGACAGGTTTTCTCTGTGTAGTCTTGGCTGCCCTGGAACTCACTCTGTAGCCCAGGCTGGCCTTGAACTCAAATATATGACCTGCCCTGCCTCTTGAGTGCTGGGATTTAAGGCGTGCACCACCACTGCCCAATTTATGTATAATTTTGGTGATGTGTATGTCTATGTGTCTGCATGTTATATGCACTAGTGAAGTTGCCCTTGGAGGCCGGAGAACTGGGATCGCTTGGAGCTGGAGGTGCAGGTGGCTGTGAGATACCAATGTGGGTGCTGAAACCAAACTTGGGTTCTCTAGAAGAGCTCTAGGCAGAGACATCTGTCAGCACCTCACTGGGATTCTTTGAGGGACCAGGAGAGTGCAGTTTAAAGAAAGGAATTGGGGACTTTGAAAAAAACAGAATATACTATGCTTTAACTAGGGTGTTCAAATATTTAAGGCACTCCAACTGCTATAGACTGTAGAGAAATGGCAGAGCTCCTTAGAAACTCCAAAATCTCAGGAAACAAATGGAAGAATATGGGCTTTGCAAATGACCTGCTGACTTCTCTATCTGGATAGCATGTGTCCAGTTCCTGAATATCTGCTATGTGTCAGTCAAGTGGTCAGGTGCTCAGGCCACTGAAGAGTAACACATGCTCTCTGGTATTAGGAAGCTTATAGATGCTAGACATGGGGCACATGCCTTTCATCCCATCTATCACTTGGGTGGCAGAGACAGATGGATCTCTGTGGGTTGGTAGGAAACAGATGGTACAGGGTTAGGGAGGTAGCTGAGTTGGTAGAGTGCTCACCCAGCACATATAGTCTCAGATCTGATCCTCAGAGCCATATAAACTGAGCCTTGTGGGGAACGTCTATAATTAATGCCAGCATCTGGGAGGTGGAAACAAAAGGATCAGAAGTTTAAGGCCAGTTTCAACTGCATAAGAACATTTGAGGTCAGCCTGGGCTATACACGAACTCCAGAAAAAAAAAAGGGGGGGGGGAAGGGGTGGAAGAAGACAAGAAATTATATATTCATAAACATAAGAATAAAACTGTAAGTACATATAGTAGATGTTGCTGTGCAGAGAGGTCCCTAGCTCAGAAATATATGACCAAATCAAAGGAAGTTTTCTGAGGATAAAAGCTGAAGTCTAATGGACATTCTGACTGTAGATGATGGATGGGTTTATCCTCTGTACAACATCTGGCACAAATGTGGAAAACACACACACTTTTTGTGGTGCTGGGGAGCACACCTTGGGACGTTCTACATTTGAGTCCTATACTCTATAACTGAGCAACCTGTGCCTATGAGGCTGTTGCTTCTACTTCCAGAGACTGACCCGAGTGAGGGCTCAACAGGCTAACCAAATGGTATTCTGCTGAGCAATTGCTTTAGTCCCTGGAATGACTTGTTAGACTGGGTGTTGCTAAGGGCATAAAATGTGTAAAGGACAAGGACACTGGTAGCTAGCTGTCTTAACAATACATGGGATAGCCCCTCATAACACAGAATTGTTTGTCCTAAAATATCAAGAGGGCAAAAGTTAAGGCGTCCTAAGGCAGGCAAAGGGAAGAGCAGGCTCGAAGATGAATGGTGGGAAACGCAAGCATCTGTGACACTGTTTGAGCAGGAGACAGACACTCAGAACTCTATACACCTTCTTAAGGAGTTTTGCTCTTATTTTGAGAACAAAAGAAAAACAAGAGAGAGTGTTAAGCAAAATAGAGCAAAGGATTGAGGATATTGTTGGTACATGCCCAGATTAAAATTTTAAAAAGCTTACTGACAGAGGTATGGTGTAGGACAGAAAGTCTGAGTTGATGAGACAGGCAGCTCTGTAACACAAGCTTCTAGAGACTCCAAAGGCTGGAGAAACATGACGGTGGTAAGGGTGTAAAGTAGCTAAAAGTATTACTGCTACAAATGTTTAGTCTGAGGAAAGGAGACATAAAGAAGTGGGTGCCACGTACACTGTCATTCTACAATGTGGAGGCATGTATGACAGCTAACAATGTGTCTGCTCTTCTAGAATTTTCTCAAGGAAAGTGGAATAATCTCCAAGAATGGGCAAATATTTTCCTCATATTTCAAAAACAGGAGACAAGAATATCCAGCTCCCCTTACCCAATGAAAAATGTACTCAGGATGGCCTCAAACTCTGCTTCCTGCCTTAGCCTCCCCTAGTATTGTGATGACAGGCCCATGCCAGCAGGCCCGCCTCCCCTTCTTTTGCCTTGAAAGTGACATATGGTGACATATGAAGGATTTTGTTTATTCAGACTCAGACAGCACAAAAACCAGAGTGGTTACAATTTCTTGTATAAGTTATATTCCACATTAATAATCATACATTTAGGAATTAATAAACCAATACTTAGCCAGGTGGTGGCGGCACAAGCCTTTAGTCCCAGCATTCAGGAGGCAGAGGCAGGTGGAACTCTGTGAGTTCGAGGCCAGCCTGGTCTACAGAGCTAGTTCCTGGACAGGTTCCAAAGCTACACAGAGAAACCCTGTCTTGAAAAAAAGGAAAAGAAAAAGAAAAAAACCAACCCCCCAAAAAAACCCCAATACTGGGTTCTATTTAGTATAATCTCAAGAAGGTGTTTTTCCTTATAATAAGAGTAGCTATGCTATATATTACATGGTTTAAAGAATAATAAACCAACAGAAACTTACCACCAAGTAGCAATTCATTTTAAATAGTAAAAGTTTTCACAAATATTTGGCTGTGTGAATTTTAAGACGAAGATTTCACATTATGAATAAGCAAAGTACACTCCAACTTAACCTGTTTCCTTCATGGTACCACTCTACTACTAAATGAAAATTCCCTCTTGCAAAATGTGTATAAAAACAAATGAAGTAAGTTAAAAACCCAATAATTCTTGGTCTCATTTCTAGCACCTGACTGTTCCAGTTGAAAATTAATCAAAATGGTATTTCTTTATTGTTTTAGACCTATAGTCAACAACTTTTTGACATCGTTCAAATTTTATGTTAAAATATTGTATTAATAATTTGTTGTCCTGTAGCCTATGATTTTATAACATTATCATCTGAATTGTATGTTAAAGCTGCAATATGTAAGTACCAAACAAAAGCATTGGATAGTTTAGACCTTTAATTGGCCTAATTTTTCTTTAGTAGAGTTACAGCTTCTGACTTGATAACTTTTTGAGAATATTATAACATATGACTGCACTCCCTTTAATGAAATACTGAAATTTTATGTAAATTTATATTTAACTTAACATTCGACTGTGTAGTTGTCTAAAGCCCCATTACATTGTAATGACACAAGCATGTCTTATCTACAAAGAGAGGCCATAGACTCTAACACCAAAGCTCTTTTAAATCAAGAATTATGTGACTGATACATATTTAGTTTCCAAAGAAGCGGAAAAATTGATTCTTGCCTTCAGTTGGGTAAGAATGTCTTTTCAGTAACTAACAATAGGGCAAACACTTTTTGTTCTTAAGAAGAGCAGTTTTAAAAAAAATTTTTTATCCTAATTTACTCTTCCACAGATATTTACTCCACCCAAAGCACAATATTAATATTAGTCTTAAAGGAATTACTACTCACCCAATGAAAGCCACCATCTGTTCTACGATGTGCTTGCTGAAAGTTATTATAACGAAGATTTTCTGTAAAGAAAACAGTGATTAAAAGTCATTTAAAAGAACTACCTGTAAATTCTAAAGTATAATTGTCTAACAGTAATTTTAAAGGGAACTTTAAAATAAGAAAGCATTTAATTCAGAGGGTAGTTGGTATTTTAAAGATGCTTTTCCTTGAGCACAGCTGTGGTCTTTACTAGGACACAGGACTGTCTCAGAGAAAATGTGAGTCATGAAACCTGAGATTGGAGGAAACGGTGGAGAAGCAGCAGCTCTGTGCATCAGAGTCCTGTACAGAAGCCACGGGTTCCCACATAGTTCCCACCATGGACTCAATGCTGATTAGATTGCTCTAACAATAGGAGTCCGGCCTAAATCTACTTCAGATTTTAGGAAGACTGCCTACTGGTTTAGGAAAGTTTTACAGCAACAAAATAAAAGTTCCCAGAACCTGAACAAGTCTAACCTTCCAGGCTTAGTGCTAAAGAGCCTCTATCAGACTTTCCAAGTTTTTAGTTTGGTGAATATGAGAAGTACTCTATTAATTGAATTAAATTAATTAAAGATATCGATACATGATGTTAGAACAGCAACAACAAAATACTGTTAGGGCTAAAAGGTAGCAAATACTCTCAGCTTGATTCAACATGTCAGCATAAAATACTTATTATGGATAACAAAAGCTGAGAACACTTCTTCAAAATTTTGAAGAGCTTTCCCAACTTTCCACAAATGATAGAGAGCTGGTAAGCACAGAAAGAAAAAGGAAAAAGAAGCCGGCACTATGACATGGAAGAGTAGGGGAAGGAAATGTATGACTGATTAGAGATTCAACAGTTTCTATTTAACTTTAGCTTATAAGGATGCACAATAATTCTCTAACTAAATATGAATAAAGCTGAATCCCTGGGGTTCTCCAAATTCCTGACAAGCTCTTTAGTGCTCTGTTTTGTTTGTTAAATGATTAGCCAACGTAACCGAAGGAGAAGGGTGGGAATAAAATAAAAAACAACAGCTTTCTTTTATCTACTCACTATAAATGTGAGGCAAGCAACGCAAATAAGGTTATAGAGTAGATTTAGAGGGAAGAGCACTAGGAGAGGGGGGTCTACACTAAAACCGGGTTACTTGGAGCCTTACGACTTTCACTCATCAACAGAAATAATGGTGTGACTTTCAGTGATTTCAACACTGTAAGCTTTCCCTACCATCATTGCCTAACAATGCAAAATCAGCCAGTGCCCAATAATTACACAACTTCATTGCTTGAGAAACAAAACAAAATTTCCTTTTTATATGCAACAGCTTAAAAATTCACTGAGCTGGGTAGGACATAAAATGTGTCAGCCATTTAAGAACACACGTCTCAGTCTTCAAGGCTGGAGGTCTGAGTGCAGATTCTAACAAATAAACACAAGGCACAGAGCACTGAACAGCTTTCCCACTCATGTGCACACAAGAGGCAAGGGAAAGGGCTAGGAGGGGTAAAGGATGTGAAGAGAGGCAACTAATGGTGCCAGAGTGGACTAAGAAGACACCATGAGTTGAAAGAACCCTTAATGGCTAAAAGTTTAAACCGACCCAGCTATCAAACTGCTAGTGTGTGCCTACTACATGTAGAGGCTATTACCAGCACTAGAAAACCTCAGTGAAAGCCAGGCCATGGTTGTGCATGCCTTTAATCCCAGATTCTGGAGGCAGAGGCAGGCCGATCACTATGAGTCACAGGCCAGCCTGGTCTACAGAGTGAGTTCCAAGAGAGCCAAGACTACACAGAAAAACCCTATCTCAAAAAACCAACAAAACAAAACAAAAACCCACAGTAATCCAAGGAAGAGATATTTTTGGGGCTCACAATCCACATATATGTTTTTTATGTTCCTTTTCATGGGGATGCATACAGGCAAAACAAAAACAAAAACAAAACAAAAAAAAAAACCCAAACCAGAAACAACAACAACAAAAACCCCAAACAAAAGTCATGCTAAGTAAGATGAAGACAGATAATCATGTTAATTTTCTTCATCATTTCTAGCAAGACAGTGTTTGTAAGGATCCCCTCTAGGCAGAGAAGTTGCATCTACCTAGTGAGCAGGAAATTCTGACCTAAAATAGTAGATGTGCCTATGGGAACTTTTTCAAGGAAGACAGACAGACAGACATTAATAAAAATAACGTATTGGAAAGGTGTCTAATGTTAAGCTGTGAGAAAAGAGGATGAAAGAAAAGCAAACTTGAAGATAGGTTGAGTGGAGCATAGAAAAATGTGTGTGTGGGTGTTCCCTGGACTTCGGAACTGGCCGGAATGTTTATATTACTCATTAATACTGCCTACTCAAGGAATGAGAAAGGCTTGTTCTCCTAAGCTACATCTGGATGCACATCAAGTGACATGCCTTTATAAGCATGTTACTATGTACAACGGAGCATACTAAATCCCACAGTCAGTAAAGAAACCCAGATTTTTGCCTTTCAGAAACACAAATGGATTTTCTTTCTTTTGTTTCTACATAGCAGGTGAGAACAAACTTTAACTTCCAGAGCTTGTTTTGAATTTCAGGTCTTAAGGCAAGTCTTTTTCCCTCTGAACATAAGCTGTTCTCTTTGAAACCTGCAAAACTACATCATAACTGCACTGGTCCTGATAAAGAGCAGGCAGTAAACCATTCCCTTTCCTTAGTCACATCAATAACTTTGTTAAGACAAGGCAAAAGAAAGAACATTGGACAGGATACCCAGCATGATCTGGGTTAAAATCCAGCTGTCAGCATTCTTTTTTTTTTTTTGTTTGGTTTTTCCAGACAGGGTTTGTCTGTGTAGTTTTGGAGACTGTCCTGGAATTTGCTCTTGTAGACCAGGCTGGTCTCCAACTCACAGAGATCCTCCTGCCTCTGCCTCCTGAGTGCTGGGATTAAAGGCGTATACCACAAACGCCAGGCAGCTGTAAGCATTCTTATAGAAATAAATTACTTACAAGCCACTTTAAGTATGACAATTGTACTCAGAGCACTTCCCTTATCCCAGAATTCCACCGACGAGTTTAAAGTATGAGGTACATTAAAAGAAAATATGAATTGGTATATTTTCGAAGAAAACCTTAGGATGTTTAAAAAATCTACCAATTTTGACCCCTTTTCTGAAATGAAAGGTCTGCTAAGCTATGCATGTATAGCTATAGAAAGGTGCTTAGCATTAAAATTTTACAATAATTTTCTTTAGGGGTGAGGCCCCTGGTGGGTCTACCATACTCCACAGAAAGGCCATACACACACACACACACACACACACACACACACACACACACACACACACACACACACACACATGAGAACATGGGCAGCACAAATTGGACTTGATGAATTAAAATTTTTTTAAATATATAAGGTCGGGTGAGTATGGAAAGTGGTAGGGAGGGGGTGAGTAGGATAGAAATACATTGCACAAAACTTTCAAAGAATAGAAAAGAAACATGTAATAAAATTTATGATATATAAAGAAAGTTACTTTATTTATTTATTTAGTTTTTTGAGACAGGGTTTCTCTGTGACTTTGGAGGCTGTCTTGAAACTAGCTCTTATAGACCAGGCTGGTCTGAACTCACAGAGATCCACCTGCCTGTCTACCTAGTGCTGGGATTAAAGGCATGCACCACCACCACCTGGCCAGAAAGTTACTTTATTAAAGAAGAATAAAATAAGATAGATAGTTTGGTTCCCTGCATCCACCGGGCATCCTCTCTGGTCTCCTAGTGCACCAGGCATACATACATTACATGAAGGTAAAACATTCAAAGACATAAAACAAAACAGATTATGAAACAAACTGTTATAATATGTATTGAGAACTCAAAAAAAAAGCTATGTTAGCCTTTTTTTTTTTTTTTTTTTTTTTGGTTTTTTGAGACAGGGTGTCTCTGTGAAATAGTCCTAGCTATCCTGAACTCACTGTATAGACCAGGCTATGTTAGCATTCTTTTTTGTTTTGTTTGTTTTTTCTGCTTTTATGATTTTTTTATTTTACATTTAATTAAGCATGTCTGTGTGTAGTCTTGTATCTTTGGGCATTGGACTGCCTGGAGCTAGAGTTACAGGCAGTTGTAAGCTGCTTCGTGGGTGGTGGGAATTGAACTCAGATCCTCTGCAAGACCAACAGGTGCTCTTAACCTCTACGCCACCTTGCCAGCCCTTGTTTGTTTTTTCAAGACAGGGTTTCTCTGTGGTTTTGGAGGCTGTCCTGGAACTAGCTCTTGTAGACCAGGCTGGTCTCGAACTCATGGAAATTTACCTGCCTCTGTCTCCCTAGTGCTGGGATTAAAGGCATACATCATCACCGCCTCGCTTTGTGTTAGCATTTTTAATTCCCTAGAAAAAACAACACACACACACACACACACACAAAAAATAAAAAAAAGGGAAGAAAAACTATCTTAAGAAATATTACAAAATATTATTATTCAATAAAGGTTTTATTCTTAAAATTTTTTTATATAGTGTTTATATTTTAAGCACATAAATACCACTGCAGTATTAAAAAAAGTTGTGTTCACTGAACTCAATACTGTTTTGGGAGGGTTTACAACCCCTATATCACTGTCTATTCTGGAACTCACTCTGTAGACCAGCTGGCTTCAAATTCAGAGATCTACTGCCTCCCTAGTGATGGGACTAAAGGTATCTGCCACCACACATGACACTGAACTAAATATTTAATACAGGCAGGAAGAACTAAATTCCTTGAAGGAGGAAAAAGATATTGGTGACTCCTCAGTGGTCATTTTGACAGCAGAAGACAGACTCAATAAACTTTTCAAAGGCATGTTCCTGTCATCGTCCCTTCACCACTTTTTTGAGATAGGGTCTTTCTATGTACATCTGGCTGGACTGGAACTAGCTAAGTAGACCAGGCTGGCTTTGAACTCACAGTGAATGCTGAGATTAAAGGCATGAACCAACATGCTTGGCACCCCTCCCTCTTTTTAAAAGATTTATCTATTTGTCTATAGGTGTTTTGCCTGCATGTATGTATGTGTAACGTGTGCATACAGTGCCCACAGGGGCCAAAAGAAGTCAGATTCCCTGGGATTAGAGCTCTATATAGTTATTAGAAGTCATGTGGGTGCTATAAAATGAACCAGGGTCCTCTGGAAGAGCAGCCAGTGCTCTTAATTTCTGAACCATCTCTCCAGCCCCCTGCTCTCCCCTTTAGAAACAAGAGCCAGTGAGGTGTGAGGAAGAATCACTGGGGATAGATTTTTTATTAAATGATTCTACTGTTCTGAACTTTCTTTTGCTGCAAACCACACCGATTAAAAACCCATTCTTTCCAGGTTAATTTTTATCAGTGAGAATTGCCCTTAGATGGGAGACTTCATAGTCCAAGGCAGAATCATCTCTCTCACTTAGGCTCAGCCTTTTTTTTTTTTTTTTTAAACTTGTGTATATCTTAAAGATGATGCTAAGAGTGGCTTTGGGGGCTAGCAGAGTCTCACTTCTCTAACCACATGGCCAGCATTTCCTCATCTCTTCAGTTACCCCTCTCTTTCCTGCACTAACATCTGCCAGGTTTTCGGTAAAGGATATTGGTGCTGAGAGGAAGTGCTATGTAGAATATGTGAAAGAAAATAAGAATCAACGAAAGGTGATATCTTTCATGTGATGGTCAGGAAGCAAACTACAGGGTTTTTGACTGTATGAAAATGATATGCATTTTCTTACATGAGAACACTAACTTTATTTGATAAGGTTTTGATAGTTTTATGGAACAAAAAATAAAGCAAGAAGGAAGAAGGAGAAAGAGGAGGAGGAACAAAAAAACCAAAGCAACAGCAAGTGCCTTGCTCACTGAGGTCATTAAGCAGGGATTCACCTATAATTACCTGGATATGCATTTTAATGATTGCTTTTCCAATCAGGGTTGCACCAAAGAAGGTCCAGAACGGTACGAGGAAGTGCCCACATGTTATTCCAGCCAGGTCAAACAGGGGATTTGGAATCTATCAAGAGAGGGGAAAAAAATTTCATACAGAATTCAAGGAAAACTTTAATTCAAAAACCTACTGGTATGTGTTACTTACTATGTGACACAGATGAAGGTTATAAGACAACGTTCAGAAGACTAGGTAGGAATTCTAACATTAGTCCCTAAACTGGGTCTCATATTCCTCACAGACTGTCACTCTATAAGACCACAGCAAACTAAGCTGCACCCCTACACAGTTGTTAGCACATGAGAAATGGATAAACTCATGGATCTGCAGAAATTCAATTGCTTTTAGTAGACTTCTGTCCATTTGGTCTGTTTTCTATAGTAAGGTATAAATGAAGTCTTGAAATTATTGGACACATTATAAGTAAATCGTTACCCTAAACACAATGATCTAGAAGTGTCCATATCTTCTGTAAACATTATGTTAAATCCACAATTACATTTATTGATGATTTTTTTTCACATTTAAAAACTCATTATTAGCTGCTGGTGCTACATGCCTGTAGTTGTGGCACTTGGGCTAAAATACATAAGATACTGTCTCAAAAAATAATTTACTATTTGTACTTCATTTTAAGAAAGCCTAAGAGTTCGGGGCCATTTGACGTATTTTAAAAAGAAGGTCAAGGATGGAAATAGGAAAGCACACTGACCCAGTTGTTTTGAATACTCTGTCCTAGACAAAGAAGTGATTCACAATAAATACCTTCTTAAACATTCCCACGTTAAAACAATTTTAAGTAAAAAAGTGAAGAAACCAAAACTGTTTTTGAACCTTTCATTTATTTTTCTCCCATAGAAGTTCTGTGCCCTTGTGACTGTTGCCTGGGCCATTTACAAGTCACTTAATTTACAGAATTTTTACTTTTGAATTCCAAAAGGAAAGCCCCGATGTCAACAAGACTGTCAAATAATTAATAAGTGCCCCTTTAATCTTAATTACACATCTTAGAAAAAAATTCCTAGATAGCTAAACTCATCTTTAAGTTTATATTAACTCAAACTGTACATAATCAAAAGAATGCCTAAAATAGACAGTGAATTTCCAACACACAGGCACAAATGAGTAACAGTGAATACTTTTTTTTTGCTTCAGTAAATTAAAGAAATACTGAGACAATTTTTATAGTTAGGTTGTTCTCTTTTTTGTTTTGTTTTTGGAGACAGGGTTTCTCTGTATAGCTTTGGAGCCTGTCCTGGAACTCACTCTGTTGACCAGGCTGTCCTCGAACTCATAGAGATCCACCTGCCTCTTTCTCCCAAGTGCTGGTATCAAAGGTGTGCATCACCTTTGATAAGGGGTTTGCCTCACCAAAACACCCAACCCCACATGCTACATGAATCTATCATGCTTATTTTTCAGAGAAAAATGGTTAGACAGATTAAGGCATTTCTCCTTTGAAGAAGATCTGAACTCAGGCAAATATGGCTCTCAGCTTGTTCTCTCGGCCTCACATTAAGAATATTATTATCCAATAGGCTCCTCTGCTTATCCACAGTACGTTTCACTTAACACTGTATCCACCCCTCCATCCCCTTTAAGCCCCACCCCAAGACAGGGTTTCTCAGTGTAGCTCTGGCTGTCCTGGAATTCACTCTACAGATCAAATTAGCTTTGAACTCATAGATACACCTGTGTCCGCCTCAAGGGCTAGGACTAAAAGTGTGCATCACCAGGCCAGACTAAACTTCTAAATATTTATTTTATTAATTTTTATGAGACAGGGTCTCATAAAATGTAGCTCAGGCTGTCCTGGAGTTCACTATGTAGACTAGGCTAGTTTCAAACTCACAGAGATTTGCCTTCCTTTGCCTCCCAAATTGGGGATTAAAGGCAGGGCCACCACACACAGCTTCTAACAATCTTCCTGATCTTTGAGATAGCAAACACATTTCACTTTCCTCCTTCCTTTCATTCTTTAATTGTTGGCTTATGCTATATGAACACTCTACCATGGAAGTACATACCCAAGGATAACATTTACTTCCTTGTTTTTGTTGCTATTGTTTTGTTTTGGTTTTGATTGAGAGAATCTTTCTATGTAGCCCCGGCTGTTCTAGAACTTACTATGTAGACCATACTGGCTTCAAACTCACTCAGAGTGGTCTTTAAATTATCCTCCTGCCTCAGATTCTCAAGTGTTGACATTATGTATGTACTATCACCACCTTTTACTTATTTACTCCTAAGGTGTAGTAGCTGATAAAGGCTGATAAAATTACAGAAAAAATAAATGAGCATTTATGTGCAAGGCACTATATTTGTTACTGCAAAAATGTTTTATGTTTGTATGTGTGTTTCCAGGCACACATGCATGTGAGTGTCAGGAAAACTTTAGGACACCAGATACCTTCTTCACCTTTACTTGGATTCTGGGGGTTGAGCTCAGGTCACAACCATCTTACCAATTCACAAGCTGCTTTTGAAGATAAGGCCTCAAACCCTCAAGCCTGCTATGTCACCAGGGAAGACCCTGAACTTCTGACCCTCCTGTCTCCACTCCTCAGTGCTGGGCTATAGCTGTGCTCCATGTGTGGTTTATCACAAGTCTCATCCTTAATCTTATCAGCTTTTGTTACACTATTGTGATAGAAGACTGCTGAACGGAGTACACTATGGAAACTTGTGGCGTGTCCAGGATCAACAGCAGTATTTTAGGCACATGGACATTTTGGTTTAAGTGTGTGAGCATCTATGTGCATTAGGCATCTGTCTCCATCTCCCATCTTGCCATTGCTGAGATTACAGGCACATGTACTACCTTGGCTTTTTATGATTCTGAGAATCCCAACTGAATTCCTCATGCATCCAAGGCAGCTGTCACAACTAATATGTCTGAAGTCAGAAGTCAGGTTTTTAAGATAGGGTTTCTCTGTGTAGCCCTGGCTGTCCTGGAACTCAGAGATCCACTGCCTATCAGGTTTTATATGAATCTTCCTGTTAATACTTGTAACTCTAGACAAAGACTTAGCTAATTCATTTCATGATTAATTCTTTGAAGGAATAATGGATTTTATTTCTTTTGTTCTTGCTGAATCAAGCCTTTCAGATCTGAAGTCATTATTGTGTGATGAAATACTTGAAGTCAATAGACATGACCGTGAATTTACTCAATGCGAATAAGCTCAATTAATAACATGAATGATTCACAAAATTTATACTCAGCAAAAATGATAGCAGCTGGGTGTAGTTGGGCACAGCTTTAATCCCAGCTTTAGTAGGTAGAGGCAGGTGGATGATTTCTGTGAGTTCCAGCCAGGGCTATATTATAAGACCCCATCTGAACACCCCAAATAAAGTAAAACAAAACTCCACAACCAACCAACCAACCAAACAAAACCCAAGCCCCACAAATAACATTTTTGTTTATTCAGGAGTATCTCTTTAAAAACAACTGAGGTGCTGGAGGGGTGCCTCTGAGACCCCAGTTCAGTTCCCAGCACCCACACAGTGGCAAAAAAAAAAACATCTGTTACTCCAGTTCCAGAGGATCTGGCCCTTTTCTGACTTTTGCAGGTGCCAGACATGAATGTGGTACATGTACATACTTACAAGAACACAAAACACTCATACACATAAAAAACAAAATTGACTAAGATATATTCATACCATTTAGTAAAATTAATTTATAACTTCAAATATAATCTACTTACAGAAGCACAGGCCAAAATTCCAAAAAATCCAACTTTCTGTACTAGGCTTTGAACTGCCAGTTTTGCCCGTGATGCAAAGTCCTGTAGAAACAAAGATTTTGAAACATATTATTTATGATTATGTACACACACACACACACACACACACACACACACACACACACACACACACACACACACACACGGAGATGGTTCTTTCCTTCTACCATGTAGGTTCTGGGGATTGAACTTAGTTATTAGGATTTGGGACAAGTGTCTTTACCCACATAGGCATCTTGATGCCCCAAAAGACAACTCTTTGTTGTATTAAGTATCTTACAATCTGAGAGAATCAATTCTTATTTGTTTGTATACAGATTCTTGCTTTGTAGTACAGACTGGCCTTGAACTCATGATTCTCCTGTCTCTACTCCTGAGTGCTAGGACTAAAAAGGTATATACCACCACATCTGGCTCATACTGATTCATTCAAGGTTTCATGGGAAAACATACAAACAAGTCTTCACAATTTTACATACGCACCCCCCCCCCAGGTTTTTCGAGACAGGGTTTCTTTGTATTGCTTTGGAGCCTGACCTGGAACTCACTCTGAAGATCAAGCTGGCCTTGAGCTCACAGAGACCCGCCTGCCTCTGTCTCCCGAGTGCTGGGACTAAAGGAGTGTGCCACTGATGCCCTTAAAATCTCCCCACATTTAAGAATGAATTGCTGTATCTCTGGGACTCTCTCTGGATGCTCTAGAGATGGACAAAATATTGTTAACTACATGGGCCAAATCCTTGTGTTGTAAATCCTGGTTTATCTTATCCTTTTCTTTTCCCTTTTATAACCTGACAGACTTAATTGCCAAATAACAGCATGGTAGAAAGCCAGAATTTTTCTAGACAATGACAACATCTAGGCCTAAACTAGCCCATTTTGCAAAACTTCATTGTTTTTGACCATTTATCCTACCATGCTGCAGAGTTCATGAAGCTATTTCTCTTACCCTAGTGTACCCTTGTGTCTGCTACCCATTATTATCTCTTCACCCCTCACTCCCCATGCCCAATAGAATAATGTAATCATTATTCCTCTGTTAGACCAACATGCTAACTTCCGTATATACTTGACAATAAGGGGGTATTTATCTTTCTGTCCCTGAATTTTTGTTGTTATCTGAGACAGGGTTTCTCAGAGATCTACCAGTCTCTGCCTCCCTAGTGCTGGGATTAAAGGCGTGAGCCATCACTGGCTGGCTTCTGTTCCTGAATTATTTCACTTCACATATAATGTCCTCCAGTTCCATTCATATTGCCTCAAAACCCCAGAACTACATCCTTTTTCTATGGCTGAGCAATTTTCCATCACATACACACACATCATATGCTCTTTTATATCAATAGAAACCTAGGTTCATTCAATTCTATCATGACACTTACATAATTCATAAAATTATACAAAAGTAATTTTGTACCATGTGATTTAGAAAAGATCAACAAATTTATAGTTGCTAGGCAGTGGTGGCACACACCTCTAATCACGGCACTCAAGAGATAGAGGCAGGCAGAGCTCTGTGATTTCAAAGCCAGTCTGGTCTACAGATAGCCAGGGCAACATAAAGAAACCCTGTCTTGAAAAATAAACAAAACAAAACAAACAAACAAACAAAAAAAAAACCAAACATATTTAACCAGGAAAGAGACATAACTGTACAATTTATATAAAGAAACAAAAGTTAAAAATTATAGATACCTAATATGCTCATATTGGCCTATCATATCTAACTAACTCCTTCTACATAAGTATATTTAAGACTATAGAAGTTCAAAGTTTTTTTTGGAGGGGGGGGGAAATGGGCTTCTTCTATGCTGCCCAGGCTGGTCTAGAACTCCCAATCCTCCTGTATTAGCTTCCCAAACAGCCAAGACTATAGATATGAACTCCCAGCAGGAAACACATTTTTTAGTTTAAAAACAAATCCTGAAAAAGAAGTCAATTCAACAGGAGGACTATGACTAACAAAGGGGACTAGGGAAGTTGTCAGTTCTTTGAGGTGTCCAACATCAGTTAATCTTAGCACTTCCACACTCTGGATTTGAGTAAAGAATTTACCCATACAAACAAGTAAGGCATAAACTGCCACTGATTGTATTTTTGCTGTTTAAAAAAATGATTTACATATTTTTATTTTATATGTGTTGGTGTTTTGCCTGCCTTCATGTCTGTGTGAGGGTGTCAGATCCCCTGGAACTGTAAACTGCAGACAATTGTAAGCTGCCATGTGGGTGCTGGGAATTGAACCCAGGTCCTCTAGAAGAACAGTCAATGCTCTTAACTGCTGAGCCATCCTCTCCAGCCTTGTATTTTTGCTTTTTAATTTGAAGCTGACATGTATTACAAGCAAAAGAAACAAAACATCATTTTAATGGGAAGTTATTTTATTTTTAAAGGATTCATTTATTTATTCTGCCTCCTTATATATGTCTGCATACCAGAAGAGGGCACAAGATCTCATTACAGATGGTTATGAGCCACCATATGGTTGCTGGGAATTGAACTCAGGTCCTCTGGAAGAGCAGACCATGCTCTAAAACCACTGAGCCATTTCTCTAGCCCCAAGTTTTATTTTTTTTTTTAAATGGTAAAAGTAGTCTATTAAAAGGAGATTTTATAAGTTGTATGTATTTAGTTCTTCTAATAGTCCCCAGGTCTTCTGTTCTAAGAATTAATGTTACAATGATATGACAAATAATTCATGAACATTAACTGAAGTCATGGTGAAATCTGATTGTGTTTCATTATAAGAAATAATTAATTGAATAAATATGCAGTTTCATGGACTCAACTATCCACCTTGCCACTGTATTAGTACTTGTACCAAAGCTAAAGTATTTTATATTAGTCAAGAAATTTATGGTTATATTTCATAAATATTATGTTATTATATACATTTTTAATCTTAAAGTCACACAAATAGAATTTACTAATAAAGGCTGGGCAGTGGTGGCACACACCTTTCATCCCAGCACTTGGGAGGCAGAGACAGGTGGATCTCAGTGAGAATGAGTTTGAGAACAGCCTGGTCTACAGAGCTACTACCAGGACAGCCAGGGCTGTTACACAGAGAAACCCTGTCTTGAAAAACCATAAAAAAAAAATTACTAACAAAGTATGCATGTGTACACGTACATACAAATGTGCTTTCTTGTGCAACTGTGGAAGGAAGCCAGGGGTGGCCTGCTGCAGGCGCCTCCCTGTATGGCAATTACTATCACTATGGCTACTATTATTACTGGAGACAATGTTGCTCACTGTTCCTCCTGAGTTCTTTCCATCTCTGTCTCCCCAGTGCTGGGGTTACAGTCACATGTTGACATGCTTTTCTCTAACCTGGGTGATGATTATCTATACTTGGGTTCTCACACTTCTTCACTGAACCACCTCCCCAAATACACCAACAAAGGTTAAAGGACTTATTTTTAATGTGGAGTAGTCTCAAGGATGGAACCCTGGCTTTCAAGTGCTCTACAACTGAGGTATCCCAGATCTAAAGATCTAACTGGAACTTCATTCTTTTGTCTTCCCACAAGTTCTACGCTATAAATGTAATTTTGCTCTCACGGTTGCCATATAGGTTAAAAGGCATGTATTAATTTGAGACAGGGTTTCATTGTATAACTCTGGCTGGCCTGGGACTCACAGATCACCCTTCCTCTATCTCTTTAGTGCTAGGATTAAAGGTGTATGCCTCCAAACCTAACTGTGTTTTTTGTTTTGTTTTGGTTGTTGTTGTAAGTTATTTACTTTTTATTTTTTTATGTATTTATATTAGTGTTTTTATCTATAGATATGAAATTATATCACGTGCAAGTAGAGTGCCTGCAGAGGTAAGAAGAGGACACCAGTTTCCCCTGGAACCGGAGTTAGAGGTGGTCTATCATGTTATCATGTATGTGCTAAGAACCAAACCTGGGTCCTCTACAGGAGAAGCCAGTGTTCTTAGCTGCAGAGCCATTGCTCCATACAATTATTTTTAAAATAAATTTTCATTCAGATGAGAGTACAAATATCTTCCCTCACTATCATATACTATGCAGCTGAGTTTCCTCCATCTTGGGAAATTGCAGGGGTCAGTTGCTATACCTGGAGTGCAAAGTAGGGGCCTCACCCTGAGAAAACCACCTTCTTTCTTTTTTTCTTCTTCTGGTTTTTCGAGACAGGGTTTCTCTGTATTGCTTTGGAGCCTGCCCTGGATCTAGCTCGGTAGAGCAGGGTGGCCTCAAACTCACAGAGATTCACCTGCCTCTGACTCGAAGTGCTAGAACTAAAGGTGTGCACCACCAACGCCAGGGAAAAGCACCTTCTTGACCATTGTGTCTCCCCTAGATGGAAATTATTATCTGTATAATGTGACAGCTCTTTCCACATTGATTTTAGAGTAATACTGTCCATATATTTTAACTTGCCTTTAAAACATCAAGGGAGTGAATTTTACTCTATGTATATTATTTGGCAATTATTTCACTGTAAAAACTCAGAAATGCCACCTAACATCACTAAAGAACTCCTCAGTTCCTAAAGCTTTAAAACAGTTCCTAAACATCTTCAACAAAAGCTGTTGTCTTTTACATCAAGTAGGATGAATAAGCCAATTAAAAATATGTACCAATAATATTTTTTAAAGGATTTATTTATTTATTTATTTATTTATTTATTTATTATACAGAGTTCTGCCTGTATGTATGAATTCAGGCCAGAAGAGAGCACCAGATCTCATTAAAGATGGTTGTGAGCCACCATGTGATTGCTGGGAATTGAACTCAGAACTTCTGGAAGAGCAGTTAGTGCTCTTAACCTCTGAGCCATCTCTCCAGCCCAATACCAATAATATTTTAAAAACAAAAACAGATGAAAATTATCAAAGAAACTTGCATATTAGGCATTCAATGTTCTAGTTAAATATAAAATGAAATTAATGTTGTTTTAATAATCTTGTAATATTTATGGGAACAATAAAGAGTCCAATTTGATTATTTCTTTAATTGTCATTTGCCATTTTATAAAAAAAAATATGTACAACAAAAACCAAATTCCTTTTT